ATATATATATATATATCACAGGCAAAGACTTCTTAACTTGGACTCCAGTAGCCCAGGAAGTAATAGTAAGAACCAAGAAATGGGGTTCTGGGGACTTAGCTCAGTGGTGCCACTCCTGCCTTGCAAGTGCAAGGTCCTGAGTTCGATCCCCGGTACCAAAACAAACAAACAAACAAATGGGACTATGTCAAGCTAAATAAATGCTCAACAAAGAAAAGTAGAGTGAAGAGAGCCTGCAGGATGGGAGAGTTTTGCCAGCTACTCTTGTGATGGCAGCCACTGGGAGAGCGGCTTGTTTCCCAGATTGGGAACCCGGCTCTTGGCCATAGCAGCTCTGAGTCCCGACAGCACCTGGTGGAGGTGTTCAGAGAAGGGGTGGTCCCATCCCCACTGGGATGTCTGAGCCAGGCCTTGCTCCCGGTGGCACCGGCTGGAGCCCCAGTGTGGTCACTTTCCAGGTCCTGCCATGGCCAGCGTGAGGGATGCTCTGGGGCTGCACTCGCAGTCTGAGGCATCACCCACCACCTTATCACTTCCTGGTCACGGGGTTCCTAAAATATCTCTGCAGGACAGATTAAAATAGCAAGGGTGGATCACTCAAGGGCAGGCAGGTAGCCTGGGCCCCGATCCACAGCGGGAAGGAGAGCCACGCCTGCTCCCGACACAGCCGCCATCGCTCAAGCGCCAGAAAGGTAGTCACACGGGCGCCCCTGAACCCCCATAAGCCCCCTCCTCTCACTCTTAGACCTCCTGACTGTGCCGGTCTTTGGACCCACTCTGCAGAGGCAGAGGTGGTCATCAAGGGTATTCCTCTGAGTTCCCAACTTTGAACATCTTTAAAGAAAGGGAGTGGGAAACCTGTAATAGAAGGTTGCGGAGTTCAACCATTCAGAAGGTTGGGGAACTCAATCTGGGCCTTGCAGCCCGAGGTCAGTCAGCCTCATGGGGTTTAGCCATCAGCTAACTGAGATCAGGGGTCTTGCATCCTCGCTCTGTCTGAGCCATTAAATGGTAAATACACTATATTGAAATTTTGTTCACTGCAGACATGTTCTGGACTGCTTCTTGATTTCAATTTAATTCAAATGATTTAAGGGTGATAGACTAGTGACTACCACAGGTGGTCAGTGTCCAAGTTGTGCTTGATCTTAATGTGTTGCTGATTGTATCAGTTGGGGTAAAGCATTGCAGTTGATTTGATGAG